TTACTACCACTACTACTACCACTACTACAGTACTACTACTACTACTACTACTACTACTACTACTACTATTACTACGACGATGACGCAACGACGACGACGACGACGACGACAAGTGCTCCTGCTGGTGCTAGTAGTTTTTGGCCTGTTGCCGTTTTGACTTGTGTTGGTTTGACTCATTGCTTCTGCTACTGCTGCTGCTGCCAGTGCACTCTTGAAAAAGCTGCAGGTGCGCAACGACAACTCCAGCCGCTTCGGTAAATTCATCGAGTTGCAGCTCAACTGTGGTTGCCGATTGGAAGGCCGTGCGAACAAGCATTCGTGGAAATTCTCGCCCATTGCAGAGGTTCTGAGACTTGACACAGCTTGCGCCAGAAGGTTCCAAATGCAGGACCTACCTTTTGGAGAAATCTCGTGTCGCTACCTGTTGGCAATGCTTGCAATGCCCACATGGGTGTCTTGGTCGCTGCGCACTTGGCCCTACCTGAGCCAAGGTCGGACAGGATTCTGGTGTTTCGCGGCAGCAAGCCTTACTTCTTGCAGTTCTTTGAAAAGTTATCGACTGCAACGGACCTTGGGCGGTGGGCTTGGGGAGAATGTCGTCAGCTGCACTCCGTCGTACAAGCTTTTCCCTGTGAGTCACTTTTCGTCCGATCCCATGTGATGCTCAGACCAAGATGTAAGGCAATGTTTGCCCTGTCTTCCACGTTTGAGGAACGAAATTTTCATATCTTCTACCAGATGCTTGCAGCTGATGCGGAAACTCGCGCAGCGATTGGCTTGGGCGATTCTTCGCTGTCTCGTGATTCGCTCAGATATACTAGTGGCTCAGCTGAACAGTTCGGGTCTTGTGACTGATAAAATACAGGCGACGGCACTGGTAGCAAAGTTTTGGCATGTGTTGACCAAAATTTCGTGCCCTGGGTTTAGGAAAGCTTAGTTGCTTCCCAGTTCGGACTTGGCCCATCCTCACCCGGACCACTTGCAGTGCATGTTGTTTCGCCTGCTCAAGAGGGCCGTGATGAGCAGTGTGTCATGGCGTGAAGTCAAAGGTGTCTCGTACAAGACTTTCGGCACACTTTCGGCATGTTGGGAGTATGCAGCGGCGCCGCTCGTTGTTTTAACACATGCCGCTCCCACGATGCCAAGTGCTCGAGCGTTTCAAGGTTTGGGTGGTTCCAAGACTGACACCATTGAGGGCAAGAGCGATGCCGAACGTTTTCATGGCCGGGATTTGGGTGGCGGGCATGGTTCGGAAAGCTTAGCTGACTAGGATAGGTGCGTCGTCGCAGTGGTGGTACTAGTAGTGGTTGTGGTTGTGGTAGTGGTCGTCGTCGTAGTAGTAGTAGTAGTAGTAGTAGTAGCAGTACTGGGAGCAGCACCATGTCCTTCGCTTTAAGGTTCACGGTCGCTGGGTATCCAAAATCTGACACACCAAAGGCTTGGCCTGACAGGATTGAGGATAAGAGGCTTGTGAGGTTTGAAGCAGCTTCCGCCAGACAAAATATTAGCAAATAGCCAAGGCCTGCTGAAACCGTCACGAGTGTTGACCTCCAATCTGCAGTTGTTCCTTTCCCATGGGCAGCTTGCTTCCAAAGTCTTGGAGCCTGCAGCCCCGAACAGTCTAACTGAAGTCCTCGGCCTTGCCCGCGAGTCCTGCAGCCCTTTCTGTCTCCTCCGACAACCGAAACCTTCTCCTTGCACGGTTGTACCTCTGCCACGACGAGTAGAAGCATCACCCACAATATAGCAGTGCTGTTTGTTTACGATGATCATCTGTGGATGAGGACGAAGAGCGGAACTATAGTAGCGTCATCAGGGCCGTCTTGCAAGCTCTTTCCTGCCGAAGCAATGCAATCCCATTCACAAGCTGAAGCAAGCGAGGAAGTTCCTTTGCACTGTTTTGGATCCTTCCAGGCACTGTCTCAGCTCTTGCCCTGCTCTCTATCGACGGGGAGAAGTTGACACGCTTGCTGCAGACGCTGGCTTCCGTGCTCTTGCTTGGACAGCCTCATGGCTTATTGACATATGCTCAACGGACTTGTCATTACTTTCGCTTTTGCGGCATGCTCTCAGCTTACATGTACGAAGCAAAAACGAAGAGCTGCTCTGGAAGCGATGCGGTATGTGTGAGGGGGAAGAAACTGCAACTTACACTGCTTGTAAGGCTGGAGTTTGCAGGAAGCCACTTGCCGGCAGTTTGTTCGTTTAGCCTCCCTCAAGCTGTTCATGCTTGCTGTTCGCGGGCGGCTGAGTCTTGTACATGGTGGGAATGCAGGATTCTAAACCGAACGTCCTACGGGAGAGTGATTGGAATGAACTGCATGACTTTGGACTTTCGCAGCTTTTCTTGAGCGAATTACACAAATTCATCCTCGCAGACTGCCTCGAGCCTTGTTCATTTCCATCACGGCCTCAGTCAATTCCAACCCATGCCCCCTTGATTGACTGGAGCTTACATGAGACGAGAGGTAAAGTAAGCCACATCTGCAGGCGACGAGTCCTCGAAGCTGGCAGACTGTGCTGGACAGGCTGCAGCTGCAGCCCAGGTGCTGGCTGTAGATGCCGGTCACCCAGGATGTTAACAACGACTCTATTTCACAAGTTCCGCCTTTGTAGATGAGTTTTTGCCATGGGGCTGCAAATGAGGTCGGCGAGCTGGAGTCACCCGTCAGCCGATGAGCAAGAGACTCCATCATGGTGGTCTTGCAATGTCTTGCTCACCAGTCTGGTCAAGCTGCTACCGCAAGTGACCAAATCACTGGATGCAAGGCAAGCGCTCACACACCGCACTCTGCGAATGCGGAACGAGAAGGTTGTGAAGCAGCTCCCACCATCCAGCGCCACGGGGAATCGCCTGATGCCAAGACCCTTCGCTCGGAGATTTCGAGTTTCTGTGGACTACCGAAGCCGTGTGCGAATCCCTCTCTGGGCAAATGCTGGTTACAGTTTGCAAACCTCGCGGGATGAGGTGATGCTCTGGCCAAGGAAATTTACGCACGAGTGCAGGGGGCCCAAGCAGATCACCCGCTTCGTCGCAGGTGAAGCAGTATCCGATGTGCATCACGTGTCAATGTGAACAGGTTCGATTGGCTGGTGGAGCAGATCTGCCAAGCAACTGGAGCGCCACCTGAGCGCGCGATCAGCTTTGTCGGCTCCTCGCCCTTGCAATCACAAAGCCAGAGTGAAGCCTTTGACAATATTTTGTAAGACTAGCGCGGAACGGCTGCGACGGCCACAACATAAATTCCCGCATTCTGGCATCTGAGGCTTGTTGGACACTTGACTGCAAGTTTAGGATCCACCATTCAAGAGCTGCCTAGCCTTTGCCCTCCCAACTGTGTTCTATATTATCGCGTCGGAAGTGCATGAAGTGCAATTTGCCAGGACATTTTCGGCTTCGAGTCCTTTGCGATAAACCGCTTCGAACAGCAACTCGGAAGAACTCGACAGCCGAAGTATCTGAGCTCGTTGAATGCCGAGGCTTTGCATTAGTTTTATGTACTTCCTTCATGCTCCGCATATGTGATTGTCGCAAGCTGATTCTTGTGCCTTGTGACGTGCGATTGGGAATCGAGGCTTTGCATTAATTATGCAAACGAGAAGCTCCAACAGAAGTTTACTCATGACGTCTTCAAGGCCGTGCAGCAGGAATACACTGCGGAATCCCGCAAGCAGCAAGGTCGAGAGCGGTTCGGGGATCGGCCGTGCCGCATTTCGGAGTGGGGTGCAGCGGGTTAGGCAGGGGGGGCTTGAAGCCGTTCTTGGTTCACTGCCTCGTTTCTTGCACGATGGGCGATGATGTTGTTTCTTACGGGATGGGTTGTGGGGGTAATGACGTTCTTGTCTTGAAGCTGCAGTCGGCTACTCTTCATTCATGCTGCAGCTATGCTGATGTTGTGTGGTTGGGGGGGTAATGACGTCCCGTTTGTACTCTTCATGCTCATGATGGTGCTGGATGCTGATGCTGATAGTCATTCTTGTCCTCACAAACATCTGCAGTCTCTACAGTCGCTTTCTCTCGAGCTTTGAGCTGCTTCCTTGAACTTAGTCGACATGCCGATAGACACTTTCCTTTGCCTTTATTGGCGCCCAAAGGCAGTCACCTACTTGTCACGTCACGTACCTCAAGCTTTGCGGATTCATTTTCGTGGAAGGTTCAAGTCCTTATAATTCTAAGCGCGAAGCCCCTGTAACATGACTATGCGCGCACAACAATGGTTTCAAACGTCCCTGCACTGCGACCAGAGCAGGATTTTACGGATTCTCTTTTAAACGTCCCCTGCCAAGAGCCCCCCTCTGCTAAAAAGGCCTCCGAAAAACACAAGATGCGTACAGTGTAAAACGCATCCGTGCTGTGGCGAGAGCACGGTTTAGAAGCAAACATATTCTTGAGACTTGAGAATAATTAGACCCACCGAAATAAGCCCTAACAAAAATCGCACAGACGCAGCGCGAAAATGCATTGTCCCGATAAAAGTTGAAATGAACCTTTTCGACACCTGCGAGGCTCATCCCTCATGCAAAACGCGCGTTTTGCTCGAGTTTTGGCCCCGCCGTGTCGCACTTACAAAAAAACGTCTCCAAACGCACGGCCCCTCAAGGGCGCCGTCACCTTGCTTGTGGCGATCTAGTGAATCCACTTGGTTGCTGGCACCCACAGATCCTATCGCATGGTTACTTTTCCGGGCGGCCGGCGCTGCGAGCGCATCTTTGTCGTGTTGTTACCGTGCATGAAGACAGAGAAGAACCGCCTTCGGGCCTGCTGATGGTTTAAAGAACGACCTACCATTTTCTCGCCATCGACCTCTGCGTGAATGGGTGCTCCCGCCCTGTCGGTCTACGTGTGCGTGTGCGTGCGTGTGTGTGTGTGTGTGCCTGTTTGCATCAAGTGGTTATGATTTGCCAGTGTTATCTGTATGCTATATGCACCTACATAATGATCAAGGCTATATATCCGCATGTATGGCAAGCTGCGTGGATGTGTGTTTGCCAGAATGTGTAAGTCTAAGAGCTGGGTATATGCATCCGGGCTTGTAATGTTATGTTATGATTCGGTCTGTGTCTGCTGAAGTTTATGTTTAGTTATGTTATGCTATGCTGGAGGCTTAGTGTTGCAGTGTGTGATGTTCTGATTTGTTGTGTTCTTTTATCTGCCATGTTGTTCGGCTGGTTTTTTTTGGTAACCTGGTATGTAGTGTATGGATGATTGGCGGGGTGGGTGAATAATGAATAAACAAGTCCATACGTGGATTTGAGCTCGCTGCTCTGCCTCTGCACCTAGGAAGGCATCCCTTGGGATCGCATTGAGTTCAAAGACAACGCGCCAATTCTGGCTTTGCAGCTCGGCGAGGCTTTGGCGTTGCGATTCTATGCTGTGGGGGCCTTGCGGTTGGCAGAGAACGGAATGAAAGAGATGCATGCAGAACATGCCAACCCCAGGATTGAGTCGAAGCTGGGTATTGTGGCCATGCTGAATGAAGAGTGCGTTCGACCAAAGGGTTCGAACGAGTTCCTTGGCCAGATGTCCGACATGGTGATGTCGGCGCTGGTCGTCTCAACGTTTTCGAAGTTTCTGCGACGTCCACAGACAGACGTAGCTCCACCTGGGTAAGGAACTTCGTGTCCAAGTTGCTCTCGGTGCACAAAGAGGATGCGGCCTTCTCGGTGCCCAAGCTGGGCAAGATGAGAAGCTCGGGCTCGGACTTGCTTAGACGGATGAGTTGTTGCAGGGCAGACAGTTGAGCCCAAGGAGAGCTACAGTTCTGCATCCGCCACTACGCCGGTGAGGCTGGCGGCTGGCATGCGCATTTTGCCCGAAGAGGTCCCAAACTGGTGTGGTTTTTTTGATTTGCCATCAGGTGATGTACACAGCGGAGGGCTGGCTGGATCGGAACAACGACACTGTTTCCGAGGAGAAGATCTGATTTGCAGCTGGTGCCGGTGAGCTTGCTTGATAGATTGGGCCGGAGACCGTGCGAGACAGGATGTCATAAACCTCATGCGGGGCTCGGGAAACGAGCTTCTGGCGTCGCTGTTTACAGAGGAGACCCAGGCTGTGCGTTGTCGTTAGATTATTTTTCTTTTCTGCGGTAAGCGGACACTGTCGGAAGAATCCGTAATGGTTTTGCTTGCTTTAGAGGAGTCCAAAGCAAAGCGGGACACTGCAGCCCGGCTGCAGCCTCGCCCGCCTGGGGGTAGTACTGTCAGTGCAGCTGGCATGTCTTCGCGGCATGGTACAGGAAGGGGGATGATATACTGTATTGCAGCCTACAGAGGCCACCCAAGGCCGATCAAAAAGAAGCGCATGCGCTCTTGGGGCTGAAGCAAAGGTTGTCACCAAGTTCAAGACATCGCTCTCGCAGCTGATGGAAACCATCGGGCAGACGAACACACAATATGTCAGGTGGGTGACCTTGCATTCAAGCCTGAAGCCAAATTTGGCACCATGGCGCCTCACCCACTGCTGCCACTGTCATATGTACTTGCAAAGCCACCAGGTGCATCAAGCCCAACCAGAACAAGTCCCCTAGAGAAGTCAACAATGCGCCCGTGCAGCACAGAGGACAAGGACGCACAAGCTTCACTAGTTACGGCTGCACGTTGTTCTGAAGCTCATGTCGATAAGGAGATGGTGGTCGATCAGCTGCTCGGCATGATCCGATCAGCACTCGCTGGATGGCAATGCTACTTCAGCAATAGGTATGTTCGCTGTGACTGCACTTTGACAATCGTTTACGCCTCAAGCATCTTCCAGCAGCATTGCATCCGCGACACCGTTGCAAAGTGTTTGCATAAGTTTGTCGTTCATGACTCCATGGTGTTCCAAGAGCTCTGCAAAATGCTTGCTTAGTTAGTCGTCGGTTTTTCCGATGACCTTTTTTCGGCCATGTTGCAACCTTTGCGGACTTGCCACAAAGACGATAATGTTTACTGTTGCTGGGGCTGGAACTTTCGAAACCCCTTGACCGCCTGTGTGTCAGTTTGCTTGGCAAGCTTTGTTCGAGGGGCGTGGTAGCGTTCCATCTGTAGGACAGCATAACTGCATAACTCAACTTGAGTTTTGGGCTCGAGCATCTTTGACGCAATGTCCGGCTCAAAAACGATTCCCGCATGCTTTGATTCCCGCGACTTCGCTAGTCATGTTCGGCACATCTCGTGGAATCTCCGTGACACTTCAAAAACTGGGACCTAGATGCAGGGAGGCCACAGTAAGACAGAGTGTTTGCCAAGTGCGTGGCGCTACATGCAATTGAGGTTACGCTGCGCTGGCGTCATAGAAGCCATCCGCATCTCACGAGCAGGCTTTCCAGCGAGGATGCCATTGAGGGCAACTTGATCGCAAGTTGAAACGTGCTGTCCCGAAGCAAGCACACAGCACCGCAGTCCCCGACTCCCACCCACAGTTACTTAGAACAACAAGCTCCCACCTCAACCAACTCGCAAACATCATCCTGATTTGCACCTCGATCAGAAACTACTCCGTTTAGCGTCTGTGGCAAAACTGCATAGCTTGGCGCCCAGCCTGTAGCGAGAAGCCTTGCCGTGCCTGTCGTGCCCAGCGTATGCCAAAAGTTCAACAGTGGTCTAAACTGAAGCCTGCCTGCGTGCATCGATCGTGAGATGAGATTGGGAAATCAAAAAACTCTGGCGGAAGACAGATTTCGACTTGTGGAATATTCCAACCATTCGGCAGCTACAGCTACAGTCTAGAACTTGCTTTTGCCGAAGCAGGTTTTCAGGTTGAAATCTCCATGGCAAAGCTTTCCACAGCACAGTTGCCATACCAGCTTAGCATGATTAGGGCAAGATTTGCCTGGCGTGCAGATTGACCATAACTTTGAAAGTCGTGGGCCTTTGAGCGAAGGATTTTTCTCAGCGCTTTCAGCTGCTGGTTCAGAACTACTCTGCGGCCTCTTTGGCTTCTCATGCCGAGAAGAACATAGCGGCCCGCTGCCTAGTCTAAGTTCTACACGTTGGCTTGCATGTTCTTCTCGTTTGCGTGCATGGCCCCATCCGGGCATTGAGGGCTTCAGTCTTAGTGCTTAGAGCGCTGGAGCAGCCAGGCCCTTGGAGGTGACGATGCCGCAATCTGCCGCAAGTTGTTGGGCGCTTTGGTGAAAGATGAGGAGAAGTACCAGGTTGGGCGCACACGTGCCGCCTGGATGCAGCACTGCCGGTAGCAGCAGTGGCATGCCGCTGGGCAGCCGGGGCACCACCTTAAGGCCATAAGGCTCCTGTAGGCCAGGCATGCAGAAGATGGGGAGTGTCATCAGTTCCAGAACAGCCTGCCCATGATTACTGGGCATCCGCACCCAAGGTGTACTTCAAGAGTGGCGTATTAGAGTCGCTGGAAGAGAGGCGCGCGCTGTTGACACCCGGTTTCAAATTGAGTTGCTTGAAATCAGGTCGTTCCACTGCTTAGAAGCTTCGCCCAAGCCCAGGATGCAAGCGGCGGCAGTGGAGTTTGGCACCAAGTTAGCTTCGTCAGGTTTCGCCTCAGTACATGTATGATCAGGAGCAGCCTAAATGTGCTTTGAATCTGGCACCTGCATTACAGACAAGGCTCGCGCGCATGGTGCGTGGTCACCAGGCCAAGAAGCAATTCCGACAGATGCAGATGGTTGCGAGGCGTGCTTCTACTGTGTGTCTTGATGCTGGGGCCCAGCTTCCCTCGCTCCCACGAGCTGAAGTGGAGTCTTTGGGCGAGTCACTTCGGCTTCAGATGCCACTGTCCCTTGGGAGTTGCGGTTCGGGTCTGCTCAGACGTGATAAAATGAGATGTGTTCGTATCACTCTATTCTATGCCTTCTATGCCATCTCTCTTCTTTATCTCCGTGTCGCTCGCTAAGTCTCTCTCTCGCTCTCTCTCGCTTGCTCTCCCTCTTGTATCTATCCAATGTATCTATCTAACTGTTATCTGTCCATCTACCGCTACCTATTTGTCCAATAATCTTGTTTGTCTCTATCTATCTATCTATCTATCTATCCAGCCAGCCATCCAGCCATCCCCCCGTCTGTAAATCAATCCGTCCATCTCTAGCACTGTCTCTCGCTCTCTCGCCATGTGTCAATCTATCTATTGAGCCCCATGCGCGTGTACATGAGCACAAAAACACACGCACACACATGTATTGGGATCCTCGGCAAGTGCCCCCCCGAAAAAAATACATATGTATGTATATGTATATATATATATATAACATGCTGTTTTATAACTTATGAATATGCACCTGTATTATATAATATGTATGTACATATAGAAATATATGTATATGTAGATACATACATACGTGTGTCGGTCACAGGCGGCAGTGACATTTTGAATAGGCAGATACAGTGATGCAAGCTTGTCGTCAACTGCTTCATTACTTTCCTACCACACTACCACTCCGTTCGTGACAAGAGAACCCGATTCCCGATCTCTCACTTAACAGCGCTTGCAAGAAGGCCGCACAAAGACTGTGGCACCCCATGTTGGACGCAACGAAAAAATCGTCTAACTTGAACTTGACATCAGCTTTTGGCATCAAGAGCCTACTGCGCGGCCACAGCTTGCAGGTGCACACAAGCGATGTGGAGGATGACTGTCGCCAGAGCTGTTGCTCGATGAGTACCAGTAGAGCAGATGCCGCAAGCACCCGCCTCCATCAGGGTCCAGATCATGCCTGTTAGCTTTTGCAAGGCTTTCCAGCGTGTTCGACGGGCTACCGTATTCTGCCACAGCCCCAGAACGATCCAACTCGCACTGTCTTTGGCTGAATTGCTAACGGCAGCTGGTCACCATGACCTGTTAGAGAGCAAGTTCTGGAATAATAGAGACAACCGCATCTGGCCAATGCAAGGCTTGGCTCAGATCGACACGCGTTCTTGTTAGTTGCTGGTGCCCGTGATAGAGCCTGGAAGACATGGCGAATCCGACCGCAACCTTTGAGACCACGATGGGCAACTTCACTGCAGAGCTGTACCTGGACCGAGTTCCTCGCACGGCATCTAACTTTATCGACCTTGCCCAATCTGGCTTCTACAATGGCTTGCACTTTCATCGAGTGATCCCGGGCTTCATGAATCAGTTTGGCTGCCCGTTCTCAAAGGATCCGAAATCCACCCGGGCTGGAACAGGAGGACCGCCAGATGGCAGCTTCAAGAACCTGAAGACAGGGGGGACTGAGACACGCACCCGTGGTGGCAACATCCAGGATGAGAACATCTCCAGGGACTCGAACAAGCCGGGCACCCTGTCCATGGCCAACACAGGCGAGCCAAACACCGGCGGATCTCAGTTCTTCATCAATGTGGCCCACAACAGCTTCCTTGATTGGTTTGACAGCTCAAGCCCCTCTTGTCACCCAGTCTTCGGTCAGATTACATCGGGTATGGATGTGGTTGAGGCTATCTCCAAGGTGCAGACTCGTGACGACAACCCCATTAAGCCCGTCATGATGAACAAGATCACGATTTCCTGAGCTGAGGGCCGGAAAGCTGGCAGATGCCAGGTTTGACGCTCCTCTTGACCGCACCAGTGGCTTTGGCGCCATACCCTTTTGACAGCTGGTGGAATTCCCACGCAGCCTCGTCAGCCACTGTGCGACATCTGATATCAATACCATCGTTCCATACCAATCCGATTTTGTATAATCTTGGCTGCGACGCGCGGCAGGCAGCGATGGTCGAACAGCTGGTGACAAAAAAGAGTGCATTCCCTTGCCTAGCTCAGCGCAATTCTGCTAATTTTTGTGCGCGCTACCAAATGTGCGTGCCATTTCTTCGTGCGTGATGGAGGGAGGGAGGGACGGAGGGTTGGATGCATGATGGGTGGAAGGATGAATGCATGCATTTATGCATACGCACGGCTCAAGGTGGCTCCAAGCAACAGAGTAGATGCCTTGCAGCCTTGCTAGCTGTTTTAAAAACAGCCAAGCGATCCAATGGGCAACGTAATTCATCCACTGTGGGCGGAATGTCCGATGCTGACAAGGATGGTCGTTGTTCCATCGTGGTCACAGAGATCGCGTCGGCTTCGGAGACCAATGCCTGGCTTGTGGACGGACTCTTTCATTGCAGCATGGCCAATCTGATGCAACTGAAGTTCTGGACACTGCTTTGGGGTCCCTTCTATGTTGAGCTTTCGAGTGGCAGGGTTTTTGTCACGGTCCTCTTCGAGACGTACATGGCAATGAGAGATTTCCCCGCCCATGAGAAGGAGATGGGATCGACGACCTTCCTGCTCTGGATGTTTCTGATCAACACTCTCACAAGTCTGCTCTATCTGCCAGTTATGTTTTGCCTTGGCATGTACTACCACATTCTGCCGTTGATGGTCTTCGCGAGTTTTCAAGGGCTTTGGCCGATGATCATGGTCTGCCTCACAGTGGAGTGTCTTCGCGACCCAGAGAGCTCGACGGACTTCTGGGGCCTGGTCAAGATTCCGAACAGGTGGTACCCCCTTGCATTAACGGGTCTTTTCCTGCTTCTCAGCAGCAAGAGCAGCGTGTCAATGTCGCATTTTCTGGTGCCATTGGCAATCGGTTACGGCTACCCAAAGCTGCGCCTGGAGCGGCTGCTTCCCTCGAAACTTCGCGTGGATCGCCTCGAGCAGAAGTTCAGAGGAGGTCGCTGCCAGCTGCTCGGAACTTCTTGGATCCCAGCTGCAACAACATCTTCGTACGATCTTGACGTGCGGATTGTTGACTTCGGAAACACTGACGCCACGAACTCCATGACAGCAACGAGCGGTGGTGCAGGAGGCCAGTTCGTGGCCTTCGGAGGCAGTGGCAACCGTCTTGGCGAGGCTCCGGCTATGGAGATGGAGGCGCGTCCAGCAACTGAGCCCTCCTGCCAGCCGTGACGTCGATTCATTGCTCAAGATTTTCCTATCGCCACGGCATATTTTCAGTTTGGAAGGGTCCAGAATGGGTGGCTACCAATTGTCGGCATTCTAATTTTTAACGCGAAAGCCGACTCGGAATAGCACGAGGATGAAGTTTTGAAATTTTACCGGTTTTACCGTATGAGGGACTGCACCCCTTTCCGAGGGCTGTCCGTTGCATCGATTCGCAAAAAAAAAAGAGCAGTGGTTGCCGTGCAGTCGCTGCAAACCTCGCCTGACGCTGTCGAGCGCGTGTGCCAGAACATGTGTGTGTGCATGTCTGACAGTATACATGTATGTATGTAAGTATGCATGTAGGTATGTATGTATAGGTAACAGGCAGCATGTCCGTCTGTGTGAATGTATGTACTTTGTACGTATGGAGCTTTGCATAGGGTGATGGGTGGGTGGGTGGATGGATGGATGAACATGCGTGCATTCATGCATGTACGTATGCAGGTATGATGTAACAGCAATTTCGAGTGGCAGATGGATGGCATCTACAAGCTAAGGTCAAGCGCGACGACGCGCAGTCCTGGCAGAGCGGAGGCGTGATGACAAACCAGAGGTTCCAGGCTGAACATCTGATTTCACAGTGATCGAGGCTCCAGGTGTTGCGGCGAGAGAAGGCCGCTACGGCGTTGCAGGCGGCTTGGCGCCGGCGGGGCGCAATGCTAGACGCTCGCTGCAAGACTTCCTCCGGCCTGAAGTTGCATCGCCCCCCTGTGTCCACTTGAGGAATCTCGTAGGGATGAGCTTCCGAAGCCCTGCTTCCGAGGAACTGCTAACAGCAAGGACGGCAGCAATCCGTCTGCAAGCCTTCGCAAGGAGAGCCTCCGGTCCGAACAATCCGGCACTTGGTCGCTATGCCTTTGTTGGTATTCTGAGCGGTTCCTTTGCAGGCGATGGCTATGCAGACGGCACTACTTGGTGAGTTTGGCTGAGTTCAAAGAACAGGCAGCCAGCGTTTAGAAGTGTGGTAGTCCCAAACTGATGGCGCAGAGAGCGGCACAGTTCACGAGCACATGGCTTTGTGCCAGTGCAGGCCAAGCTGGAGAATCAGGTGTTGCTTGGCTGCACCTGCCGGTGCGGTGCACAAGTTGCTGCTTAACTTTTGCATCCGGCAACTTTTTCGGGATTCCCATGTGGACTGCTAACTGCTGCTAGCTCAGAGCACAAAGGAAAGCGCTCAAAGCCAAGCTGGAGGCGCAGGCCTCTCACTGTGCATTTGGCTTCAACTCGATGTGCTGTGACCATCTGCCGGGAATGCGGGAGGCTTCCAACAACATGAGCAAGTCGAGTTTGACGCAAAATTAAAAATGCAAGAACATATTGCCGAGGAGCGCGCAGCGGCAAGCGCAACATCAGCAACTTCATCCGAGGCACTGGAATTCGGGCTTTGCTACCTGCTACATTGGGGATAGCAACACGCCGGCGTTCCTGCCTTAATGGCACGCTGATCAAGCACGAAATGTGGTTGCTCTCAGGCCACACAGGCACCTGCTGAGATTCTCGAAGCCCTTCAAGCCTTGGCAGCAGAGAACGCGAAGCTGCACATGGACCCGACGATTGCTGTGTAAGTTCCTAGTCACCAGCTCCTGTGTTGAGAAACAGAGTGATGCAGGCTGTTGAGTGTGTCCCTGCTGCAGGAGCTTGACAAACTGCGCGCCGAGAATGACCAGCTGCGTGCGGCCCTCATGTCTGGTTCAACTCAGTAACACGCTTGTTGATCGTGAGCTCCTGTGACGATCCTGCCACTGCATCTCACGCGAACGTCTCTTTTTGTCTACTGTTCAACGAGGTCGTCAGAACCACCAGCTGCGCGCCTCGGAAACGACACGGGGTGCTTGGCTGCAATCCTTTACACGTGCCTTGGCTTGACGCACTGACTGACATGACACATGTGTTTAAAGCAATGTGGTAGAAGGACCGTTTGGATGCTGCAACCGATCTCTCGGAATTGCGCGAGGTAACCGCAAACACATGGAGGATGACCGGTCCGTCGGCAGCGCCATGGCGGCGCATATCTAAAGTCGCAAGCAGTCCGGCATGAGCTTTTGCGTTCAGGGGAGATGTCTTCAAAACTCAGGAGACAACGCTTCAGAAGCTGATCGAGAGGACCTGTGCAGTTTCGAAAGCTTACTCAACTGTTTGCAATCGGAAGGGTGCAACGAGGGCCGAAGGCCTACAGGTCGTTGAGCCTGTTGATACCACAACCGTAGGCTAGATCTAGCAGACGGCGCGAGAAGGTTTGGGAAGAGCAGCTCATTCGACAGGTCATAGTTTCATAGTCAAACAAAATTCACAAGCGAGATACGTTTCTCAGAGAATTCGCCACTAGTTACTAGTTGCTGGCCCGTTGCCGCGGTTGCTAGGTCTTGCAGCTTCGAACTCCATTGCCATTACATTCATGACACACTGCACGGCAAGGCATAAGGCAAGGGACGGGCAAGACAGTGGAGCCGCGGGGAGTGCCTGCAGGACCCTGCCGCCCTCACCCCTCGTGCGCTTGCGATGCCACATGGCTTCAATGCCCAGCCTGGAAGGCGTTTGCGTGAAAGTGTGGGCAAAGTCACTCTCACATTCCTGTTTATCCATCGCAGCAGCCTCAGGACAACGCCGGACAATGCCCAGCAGCAGGTGCTATCCCTGCAACTCTATCCACCGCTCAACGAGTTCTGGGAGGAAAGTCGCGTGCATAGGCTCAGGGCTGGCAGTTTATTCTAGAAGGCCATTACGTGCACACCGTGTTCGGCTTTTTTGGCGAGGACGTGCCATGCAGAGGCATCCCCTACTTGCAGACGGGTTCGCTTGTGCACGTCAAGATGGGCCCCAACATCCTCCTTGTGGACCTTCATGGCAAGAGCCTGGTGTGGCAGGTGCGGGACCCAGCATCTCGTGTATGCTAAGACCAAGATGGCCCTGATGCTACCAGTATGTTGTGCTTGGCAGTACAGAACAGAGTCAGTGGTGTAGCTGTGTGGCAGGGGTGTAGGAAGCTTCCGGCAGTGCCGCAGGCCATTCGGTACCTGTAGCTGAAGCCAGCAGCAGGCATGCAACAAGTTTCTTCGGCGGCCGTGTTAGAGAGCAATGCTGAGAGGCTCCAAACAGCGGAGTCGCAGCAGGCCAGTTGAAAAGGAAATCGATCTTTGCTACTTCCCAGAAATCAACTCCGCCTGCTCCAGTGAGAAACAGGTCCAAGCATTTATTGCAGAAGGCAGGACGCACAGTGATCGCGACAAAGCATTGCGCAACTGATGGGGTACCCATCTCGGTTCAAGAGCATTGCACCGAGGGAAACCCTGATCAAGGCGGTGCCGGGATGGACGGTCCGAAACCGGAGCAGACAGACGCTGCCAAACATGCATGTGCCCAACAGGAAACACAATGAACTGTAATCAAATGCAATGACGGGTGATCCGAAGTTGTAGACGGACCGGTTCCGAGAAAGGACCCTTGCACTTCGAGTGTTCAGTACTAGTGGCTACCAATAGCTCACCTTGCAAGCCCTAAGAACCCTTGTGGTCGCCCAGGCATGGATGTGCAACCACAGTGGCTATCGCAGCAGCATGGGCTTCATTGTGGAGCGGTGCGTTGAGCAGAAGCCCAAGCCAAAGCGATTCTCCTTGCTCGGCGGCTCGGTGCAAGGGCTTTCGTCAGCGAGTTCACCACAACAAAATGAACAGGCCATATAGCCATATAGGCTTTGCGAAGCCATTGCCCTGCAGGAAGCTCGCCAAAAGACGAACGGGCCTGCCAGGAGGGCAATATCGGTGAAGCATTTGTTCTCCGATCAAGTTGGACTAAGACCCGCGGGCTTTGTTAAAGGCTACATGTCATGAAAGCATCCTGTCATGTTCTACTGGCTTGTGAGTCTCGTTGCTGCCTGCTAAGGAAGTACGTGAAGATTGGAGGACTTCTCGACTGGTATGCTCTGCAAGTCTCAGGCAGGCGTTTTGCCAAAGCCGTGCAAAGCCCGCCCCAGCCAGAATGGAAATCCCAGGCCGAAGTGCCGATGACGCAGCTGTGTTCACTCACAGGCCTCGCACCCCTGAAAGACAAATTCGAAGCATTGACTCTTCCTGCCTCACTCCTTCATACCTGTCAGGCCGTTGAGCTGCGGCGAGCTTCTCAGTTTGGGGTGTTCAAAATGTCTGCGCAGTTTCAAGTCGGCCGAGCCAAGGAGGTCACAATGAGTGTCGACCTCGGTCCAGCTTTCGGCACTTCTCCGCACTCAGCAAAGGCACGTGTCTTTGGCTTCGGTTCAATACGCGACCTCGCCTACAGTCTCGAGTTGGCAGCCCTGCACGAGCCCTGAAGCTGTTGCACAAGGTCATACAGCTTCGCTTTGAAGCTGCACGGGAAGGACAAATATCTGAGCCTGCAGCCGGACGGTTCGGTTTCAGTGGCCTCTCGGAGCAATTCAATGATGTGCACGAAGGCCCTGGATACGGATCACTGGGAATTGCGCCGTCCCATCTGCCCATGTTCTGAGGACAAAGTATCCGATGATTCCGTGGGCAACAACCACAGCCTCATTGCAGGCTTCGAGTGCTTGTTGCCAGCTACGTCCTATGACATTGCCCAGCACCCAGCTCCTGGCACTGTAATGCAACTTACAAGCGAGGCCGAAGTGATACGGAAGTTTCCAGGTTATCTACGAACAGCAGATTGGTCTGACCGTGAGCAAGGACTTGCCACTGCGAGTGGTTGGAGCCTGCCTCAATGATGCGGCATATTGCACAGCAGACCAAGGCACTTATTTCATGAATCGCCACAAGCGGCCCGTTGCTTGTTGAACTGGTTCGGTCCGGCCCGAGGTTTCAAGAACGTGGTGCATGTCTCCGGGCGACCACCGGAGGCAGGCCCCGCCGAAGCCAGCGGCCGCGTTCGGGTGGGTCTGGACCTCGTTTGATTGCCCGGCAGCTGCCGAAGTTCAGAAGATTTCAGAAGTACTGTACCATCAACAGGCAACAGTAACTTCAATAGTATAGTAATACCATAGAGGCACACGGTCATTCTGGGAAGATTGCCTTGCCTGAGTTGCAAACACTTGATGCGCCTTCATTCCATGACCGAGGTGATGTGATCACCTCTGTTAACGGACAGGACGGGCAAGAGGAATGTAACAGTCCCGGAACACAAGTCATGGACATGCTGTTCATCCTATAGTCTTCGCCTGCATGGGCGCACTAGGAGGGGAAAGATGAGTAGCCATATCCCGACCTTTAGCAAGCAGCCTGAGAAGTTGTGTCAGGACGTGACAAAGTGGGAGCGCCAGACCGTGCTCAGCCTCATCAACGAGAAGCGGCCAGTGACCCTCCGGTTTCTGTCGAGACTCGACTGTTTCTCTGGTGATTCCCCTTGGGGTCTTAGAATCCTTACAGAGTCCGAAGGGATGCCGAGCGCTTCACGCGAACTGACTCAGGATTGATCCGACCTGAGGAGGCTGAGAAGTAGTTAGGATCCCGTCTCACGTTAATGCCGCAGGCCAAAGTGGTTTGCTTTCCAGGGCTTTCTGCTATGCCGGAGATGTTTCGGTGCCATCCACTTCAGACGAAGTCAGAAGAAGCCCCGTCAAAGCCACTACACGCAAGCAACATCAAGCAACATCTTCGGTTGCACTCAGCCCATGAGCCGATCGTTTTCCCGTGTACGTTGAAAAGGGGCGTCAGGCAACGTACCTCATGCACCGCAGCGCTTCACTGAACTATTCACGGTCTTCAGTTCGGGTTTTTCGCGTTCCAAGTTGCAGAGATCCGGAAGCTTCGGCCATGTTGCGTCCTCGACGCACTTGTACCGAGACACTCAGAAGCCACGGTAGATTCCGGAAGACCCAAGAATCACAAAACATATGAGCGGCTTGGACGAGAATCGTGCTGATTCGGTTTACTGAGGCAGAGTGGCAGGATCGCTTGGATCAGGCTGCCAAGTCCGGCACTCAGCTTTCTCCTTGGCATAGGCTGGCCTTGGCTTTGCAGAAGGAACAGACGCCTATCTTCTCAGGCGAAGAAGGTTTGATCAAGAGCAGACGCAGACTGAGCACCTTGCGCTGCAATTACAGGGCTCTTGGGAAGTGCATGCAGAGCTGCCAACATGACGAACTTGCTGGGAGGCCGAACCACACCAGTGACTGCGAAAGCCAGGAAGTTGGAGGCAGTCTGGGAGCTCAGGACAGCCGGCAGTGATGGTGTGGGCTCATGAGATTTTGGTGGATGATCCGTCGTTCCCAACGATGTTTAAGCGCAGGATCCTCTGGCATACCTGAGCGAGGCGAGCAGTGATTGAAAAGAAGCGCAGCATATCGTGAGTGGCTGCGGACTTTCTGACATGGACGGGTTCGTGTTCGGCCCAGTGCAGCCTCGTCCCTGCTATTGGTTTGCTCGAGATTGATATTGACGAGTGTAGGCTTACTGCCCTGGTATTGGCATCATGTTGAAAAGCATGAAGAGCAGCCTAATAGGGGCACTGGCGGAGGATGGGTTACCTGACGACAGCACAGCACTAGTCCGCAATCTGGTGAGTGGCAAGGCGGGACCACTGACACTGCCGGATTTCCAGCAGCTCCTCATCGCATCACGCGGCAGGTGGTCAGAGGCTGTGATTCTTCTGCAAGAATTGAGGCGGCGGGATCTGCAACCAACAGCCTTTCAGTGGCAGCGGGACTACGGCTGGGTAACAACGGCCCTTGAAACATCAGGGATGTGGCAGAAGGCCTTGGAGTTGCTGAAAGGGATGGCCTTAAGCGATCTGGAACTGAACCACGTCGCCGAGACCGCATCCGGCTGGCGACTTCGTGGTGGAGCTGGGCAAAACGCCAGGAAAGAAGCAACAAAGGCACTACTGAACCCAAGATTGCGGAAGATGCTCATCCTTAGATTGCATAGTGCGAAAGCCAGAAGGGATGCTGAGGATGTAGAGGCAGTGGCCACTACACTTCGCAGTTACGGAGTCCCGAAACCTCGAGACTATGTTGTTCTGCTGTCTGCATATGGTGCAGTCCATATGTGGCATTCTGCGCTGGGCGTGTTGGAGGAAATGCAGACTCTGCAGTTTGCTCCCTACATTGTCAGCTACAATGCAGCTCTTAAGGCATGTGAGAGAGGGGGCCAGTGGTCTGCTGCTCTGGCGTTGTTTCATGACATGCCAAGTGTAATGTTGACCCCAGACCAGATCAGCTACACCGCTCTCATCGAGAGCCTGGGTCAACAGAAGTTCTGGGAGGAGGCTCTGCAGCTCCTGGCGAGGATGGACACGGAAGGCACAGCACCGGACGTAGTGGCATACAGCGCTGCTATGGCAGCATGCGCCGGAGTGCGGAAGTGGTGGCTTTCCCTTGGGCTCTTGGCCGAGCTAGAATCGAGGAACCTGCTCCCTGATCAAGCCGCTCCACCAGCATTTGCGGTTCCTGGGAGGTTTACTGGTATTGGCGGACAGTTTACTACTTAGACGGCAATGTCGTCGATGCTTGCCTCCACTGGTTCTGCTGCTAATGCTGCTGCCACAGGTGCTGCCACAAATGAAGACCATGCGACTGCCGCTTGCTGCTGCCGGGGTGGTAACTGCCGATTATGCTTTACGGGTTACCAGCTCTTCAGCCAAGCTTTAAATTGGACCAGCTTTCGGCTTTCTAACATCAACCTCACTCACTCACTACCTCACTTACTCCCTTGGTGCTGTCAGCGCATGCTGCACGCTGCACAGACGCTTGTGCAACAATCTGCAAACCTGTGTACGGTAGATCAAGTCACACGAGAACGGATTGAGATGCTTACACATGTGATGACTTTACATTTTCCACTTTATACTGTGGCCCCATGATCACAGTATGCCCCCTCCCCGCAAGTTCATCAAGGACATTCAAGGACCAAAGACAGACGCTTGATAGCTCGTTTGATCAATCTTCTTGACTTCTTCCCTCCCCTCAGACTGCTGTGTTGCAAGCAAGCAGCACGCCGTGAACACGGGCACCATGGCTTGTGGGCGGTAAGCAATTCCAGAAAAGCCGGCTCCAGCACGAGCAGCCTGGACTAAAGCCTCCCAAACCTGCCGGAGTGGAGGAAGAGATTCTGTCCTCGCACTGAGGTTTGTATGGGCATAGCTTTGAATGCCTGCGAATGGTCGCGGAAGTGGAGCCATGCAGTAGCTCTCCTACGTCGAGTCACGGGTTCCCAGAAACAGGGCGCAGACCCGCCCGAGGAAGTAGATTTTTTAGGTCTCACTGCTGCAGAGTGGAGGCCTTTGGAGAAAGCACCTTGCCTCAAAAGATGAGAGTTGTAAGTTTTCATGGGCTTCTTTCCGGCACGTGAAGAATAGGTGCATGTTCGGGCGGAGAAGTCGAAGTGAGGCACTTGGCATTGGTGGGGAATTGCCAGAAGATCCTGACGAAGATCCTGAGCTTGAGAAGAAATGGCAGGAATTTCGACGCCGCCACCAGGTCTCAGATGCGGATGCGAGAGAGGAGGAAGACTGGAAGGCGGCAGAGCAGGTGGTGCATACGCTTGGTCAGGGAGAAATTGCCATCAACACGTACATTTACAGAGCAGCAATTGGAGCAATCTCGCGCAGTCACAGAGTCCAGATGGCTTGCACTGTTTTGGCCGAGATGTTTGATCGGTTCCCGTTGACTGCCGCGGTGACAGATGTTGTAAGCGGCTGTGCAGACGTCAGCGACTGGTGCCGCGCTATTCATCTACTGACCTTGCCCGATCACCCGGACACTGTACTTTACAATGCAGTCATGGAAGCCTGCGGACGTGCGGCGCAGTGGGAACGCGCAACTCACATTCTGCAGCAGTTGGCAGTGGAGCGGCTGTCTCCTTCTGCGGTCACATTCAATACATTGCTGTCCTGCTATGTACGGTGCAAGAAGACTGGAGAGGTGGAGACGCTCCTGCGAAGCATGCAAGATTTCAGAGTTGCTCCAGATAGAGTGACTGCCCGCTTGTTGGAAGATGAGACGTTGCTTCGGTCTGCACGAATTCAGGCCCTGCGCCGCGGTACCATCACTCCACTGGAAAAGGCTTGAGCCTGCATGAGCCTGCATGAAGGTGGCTTCGCTTTTGAAGGCCAGAGGCTTTTGTCCCACAAGTGTCCGCTTGCCTTGGCTCAGAAGATTTTCTTCTACGTTCTACTTTGAGCCACGTTCAACCCGCATGATGGCGCTGTGTCGAGCTTTTGCATCTTGTCCGATTTCAATCCAGGTGTGATGCGGGCCCGGCCAATCCAGCCACATGGTTGCGAATGTTGATGCATGCCAGGATGCGAAGCTGCTAGTGACCAGACCGACCAAAAGAAGGTTTGTAACGTAGGGGATCAAAATCCAGAGAAGAAGTGCGCTAGCTCTTGTACTCCAGACTTCGGAGAGCAATATCAGCAGTGAGGGCGACGATGACCAGAAGAGTAGCTACATCTTTATACCAGCAATGGTCGCATTGACCCCATCAACTGGTGTGAGTGTCGGTAGCCGTAATTGGGAGACTCAGTCGTCAAACTCTTCATGCCGACGATACTGGTGAGTAGAGCTCAGCAATAATGGCTGATCGCACTCCACGCATGGGAAGCAAGATAGCAATGACGGCATTGCCGCAGAGACACCTAGAACCACGATCTTAATTGCTCACGCTTGTAAAATAAAATTACGTGGCCCAATGCCAAGTTAGATGCGAATCGTTCGTCATTGCAGTTGTTTCGTATAACTCCAGTCCCATCTTTCTCGCCTCTCGCTATGTCTCTTGCTCGCTCGCTCTCTCTCTCTCTCTCTCTCTCTCATGCTGTTTCTCTGACACATGAACTACAGCTACGGCGTAATCAGGCAGCCTTTTGGTATGCCACCGCTGTCCTGGCGGTGGCTGCTGAGCCTGCCGAGCCGTGTACAACTTGCACAAAGGAGAGCAAAGCTCCAGGCATGCCTGCAGGGGTTCAGGGCCGACTGCACATGCAGAAGGTCTGGAGTTTTTGCTGGTGTTGTCGCTCTCCTGCTTGTTGAGTTGTGTGGTGCCAGTGTTGAAGCTTCTTTTTGTTTGTTGCTGCTGCTGCTGCTGTTGCTACTGGTAGGTTGCTGGTCTCATTCTTGTTCTTCCTGTCGCTGCTGTTCGTAGACCTTTTCATTTTGCGCAGTGCGTCATGATCCGTCTTGTGTCTATGGCTTTAGCCAAGCTTATGCTGTTCCGCGCCGTTCTGAAGATCATGTCATGAATGCATTGTTTGGGAGGTGTTCTATTGATGCAGACGAAGACCGGCACCCTTACGAAGGCGATGTGTGAGACGGCTGTGATCTTCTTATCGCTTTCATTGAACTCTAGATCAGAATAGCCCATAAATTGACTTGCTGGAAACCGTCATCTCGCAATGCAGGCAGCTTCTTCCAACCCAGCAGCTTGACCACAACCGAGCCTGCCAGCTGTCATGTTTTCCGTCGTTCAGTTGAAGTATGTCGTGAAAGAGTCGTCCGACGTGACTTGCTTGTCGAGGTTGCGGACGAGCTCAAGCACCTTGGCTGCAGAGCGGTGTGGTGAGCACTGATACTGTTTCAAGCATTTTCAAGCCGTCAAGCGTTGCGACTGTGCGGCTTGTAGCCGCAAAGCTGTCGCTTAGCCGTTGCAGTTCGGAGCTACAGGTGATTAGTCGCACCATGATTTGCAGAAGCTTTGGTGCTGCGAACCTGGAATCAGGACCTTGAGGTTGGAGATGACGTCGATGATGACAGAGATCCAGAATAAGGCAGGAATGTACAGCCGTGCGGTTTGGAAATCCTCGCGAGCACACTTGTTATGCAATTAGGTGGGAAACTGCTGCAACTGCTCCAACTTCAAAAAGGACGCACAGGTGCTCCTGCGTGCACATTCACATATTCCAAACCCGCCACCGAGCGCGGGCGGAGCCCAGGAGGGAACCGGCTTGTGTGCAGCATTCGGCGACCCGCACTTCATTACCTTTGATGGTGCACAGACCACCTTCGCGCTTTGGATGCACTGGTAGCTGGGAGTGCACGGCGGCATTCAATTGATTTTTTGATGGTCTTCGAGCCGGGGTGCGATTCATCTGTTGGGCCTCCTTACAAACTGATGCTGCGTGTGCTTGCAGTGCGGGCTGGGTAACAAATGACAAGCAGTTGCGTCACGAACTTAAGGTGGGCGACATGGTGCAGTGGCTGGTGAAAGGTAAATTCGTATATCTCCAGGCGCTTTCCAAGGGAAGCCAGGCCATCTGCAAAGATATGTTATGAGCAGAGCGCGCCGACACTCGTCGCACTTGTCCGTCCTGTGCCATGCGAGCTGCGCAGGGCTGCTTGATGGGCTTCGCAGCTGGTGGTCCCTTCCTGATGGGGCACGTCTTGACGGTTTGGAAGGAAGCTTACGACGGGCCACTGAAAGTCGCATGGGATGGTGAGATGATCCTCCAGGACCAAATGGCTTCGTAGCTTAAGATCTACTTGTCCTTATGCCCTGCGATCCCGCTCCAAGCCTTTGAGCAGTCTGAGCAAAGAGCGGGAACACTAGCCTCAAAATCCCGATTCGTACCAGGATGATGTCAGTGAGTTCCATGTGGAGTCCCCGGGAGTGGATGCATATCGGCGCCAGTCCTGGGATGCTGATGTCTTCGATGATCGCATTCTCAGCCTGCGAACTCATATGAGGCTCCATGGGCGCATGTCATCACATGTTCGATCCATAAGTTGGGGGCCACCTATTGCAGAAGTTGCGTACGCGAAGCTAGGTATTCGGATCGAGTGTGTTCATTCGTGGTTCGTGGGTTCTTTGCCGTGCTAGGTGGATCTGATACGCACACAAGCATCATTTGCCAAGGTTCGCCATCGGCACATTTCCAGAGCGATTTGTGACTTTACCGGAAACCGGCATCTACATGTCAAGTCCTCGGTCGTTCGAACTAAAAAACTTTTCTTCAGGAAAGAATCGCACGTATTCTTGCAACCTAGTCGGCACTTTCACTCAGGTTCAAGCTGCCAAACAACATCGCTGTGTCCTTGACCGGCGTCGATTACATGTCCTTGGTAGTGTCCATGGCGCCGGAGGAGCGAGACAAGCAACGAAACAGCTAGAGAGCCTATGTGGCAGACCCAAATCGGCCCTTGAATCCCGTATCAAGATGAGCCGTGATACTAGTAGGTGGTAGAATAGCAAGTAGCTGCAGGCAGGCCAGGGCGGCTACTGTGGAGATTTCAACGGAAATCCTGACGACGATGCGGAGCCCATCGTGCCTTCGTGGGACCGACCAGCGGGTCGCTACTTGGATCCTGTGCCGCAGGACTTCACGAGTGTGAACGCCAAGTTACATGTCTAGAGCTTTGGCTTCACGACCGTGTCTTGCGATGCTGGCTGGACCAGATTAGCATGTCTGCTGGCCAGGACATGGTTCTTTTCCCCAGCACGCTCACTACCGCCTTGCTGGGAGATTCAGCGAAGGAGCACAGCCATATGAGCGAGGCCAGTTCTCTTGCGGCCTTCAGGACTGTAGGACTTAACGTGTCCGTCGTTATTCCCAAGTGGATCCTATTATTCGGTGATGCGTGGTATATATCCCTTCTTTCGACCAGAGGCGGAGTCGATCGCAGCGAAGCTGAAGAGAGTAACCGATTGCCCTCAAACTCTTCTGGGAAAGGCAGAGGCTGGCGTGACTGTGCAGTCATCACGTTAGTTGCTACCTTCACAGGCTCATGCCTTTCCAGTGGTCCACCTTTGTCCGGCCAGTCCCCGGGGATCTTTTCAGCACTTGTCCGAGAGCAACGCTTAGCATCGCCCTACGCTGTTACGCGAGTTCCACATCAAGCAGAGGTCACCGCTGGGTTGGTACCAGCGTATCACCAGCTCAAATAGACGACCCTAGTGAGCATAAGAAACCAGAGCAGATCAGCAATGACATCAACATGACATGTCATACTGCTGGCTAATGTCGACCAGGCGCTTCGATGTACCGGACAGTGAGTGAGGAGCGTGTGTCATCAAACTAGACAGAACCAATGCCAGAAGGTTCATAGCATCCAGCCAAACATTGACGCAAATGTCCTTACAGGACAATCGGAAACAACTGGACAAGCACCTGCCTGCGCTGCGGCTTGTTTCTGCGATTGTCGCAGGTTGCATGCCACGGATTGCAGGCCTCCTTTCACAAGCCGCTGGGTTGAAAATGGAACGCAGTTTGCATCAGCCTGCCCGAGACGGACAGCAAGGTTTCAAGTGTTAGCAGCTGCAAGAGTGAAGCGAGGTTCTGTGTTTTCGACGTTTGCATGACAAAGAACTTGGCTGCTGCCGGCTCTGTCGGTGCAGCTGCTGTTGTCGAGCACAAGGCTTTGGGGACATGCTGGGGCACAGGGAATGAATTTAGCTTGGCTGGCAGATGCTGGGTGTCAGCTCCATGTTTGGGCCCGCTTTCCCCCCAAGGTGAATGCAAGAGGTGTTCCTGTCTTCATGGGGCACGGCCGATGTTTGGACAAAGATGGTCATGGTTTCGTGAGCTTCCCCACCAAGCTTCGAACAGAGCCTTCGGCTTGATGAAGACATGCCAAAATGCACCAAAAATGAGCGGGAGAAAGCAGTCGAAGAAAGCGCCAGGGCGCCTGCACCGCTGCCAGGGCCCGTGCGCACCAGAGGGCGCCAAAGCACCACCGTTCCCACCAAAACCCCACCACGATGCCATCAGGAGAAGCTACTTGTAGTGGCGTGGAGCCTTTCGGCCGACGGGATATTCAATATCGTAGATAACGCCCTGAGCTGGAACCTTCAACCGCGGCATGTCACACTTGCGCAGGAAGCTGCCCTCAAGCTTTTGTGATGAGCGAGTGAATCTTTCAAGGACACTGGCTGTCAGCAGCTTCTCCGCACGCTGGCGCTGACGGAGGGTGTCATGGGAGCACAGCTGAAGCGGGGCGGGATTTGCGAGGCACGTGGGCCGAAGCATCGGGTGTTTTCCAGAGAATGAGATCGAATCTTTGTGCATCTCAGGACCGGTTTAGGTGAGCTACCGGGCTACTGTACCTTTGCAGACTCGCTGTTTGGAAGGTTCTGACGG